CTGAGCTCCACCTCCTGTCAGATTGGCAGCAACATTAGATTCTCATAGGAGCACAAATCCTATTGTCAACTGTGCATGTGAGGGATATAGGTTGTCAGCTCCTTATGAGAATCTAACTAACGCCTGATGATGTCACTGTCTCTTATCACCCTCAGAGGGACCGTCTAGTTGGAGGAAAACAAGCTCCAGGTTCCCACTGATTCTACATTATGGTGAGTTGTATAATCATTTCATTATATATTACAATGTAATAATAATAGAAATAAAGTGCACAATAAATGTAATGTGCGCAAATCACCCCAAAAACCCATCCCTCCACCATCCATGGAGAAATTGTCCTCCACAAAACTGGCCCCTGGTGCCAAAAAGTTTGGGGACTACTGCTCTAAGGTATTCACAAGGAGACAGATAAACAGTTTTTAAATTTGTACTTCTCCTCTTCCTCCTCCTTTTTTTCTTCCTCCTCGTCTTCTTTGTTGTCCTCTTCCACCTTTTTCCACACAACTTTAGTGGAACTCTTTGGGCCATCACACTTTCCTTTAGACTTATAGTCAGCAACATCCTTCTCATACTTTAGCTGTGCCACTTTACTGATGTAAGGCTGCTTTTCACTGTCACTTCAATTATTCCACATCTCACCCAGCTTTCCTGATACTTCATAGAGATGCCAGGGTTTGTGGATTTGATCTTGTGGCAGAATTTTCCACAGAACAGAAGAATCCGGATGGAGGCCTTTTGGGGGCATTAGGGTTATTCTGGCCTCCCTTAGCTAGTTCATAGTCTTCGATTCCCAATCATAGAGTACTTCATCTACTTTTGCCATTTCATCAGATTTAGACTTCTCTTTCCCAAACATTGTCATTTACCTCTTGGAGCAATTCTTGGAAAATTCTGTAAAATTGATAGGGAACTCTATATTTTTCTTTTTATGTTCTTCTCTGCACATCTGCACAAAGAGGGCATAGGCAGACATCTTGCCTTTTGGTTTCTTGGGCTCAACTTTAGCCATCCTAACTGTATTGTTCCAATATATTTTATTTAGCTTAAAATATCAAAAAATCACTTCAACATGTAATCAATATGAACATTATTGAGATACTTTATATTTGTTTCCTATACTAAGTCTTTGCAATCTGTTGTGTGCTTTACACTTCAATTCAAACTAGCCAAAATTTAACAGCTTAATTGCAAGGTATGGCTAATTGTTACATATTAGGCAGCATAGTTCTGGAATATGCTTTTGTGCTATTTTTTCCCACATAATTGGAAGAGATGTCCCCATTTATTTCTACTGCAACCATTGGCACCATAATGAGGAAAGGCCAGCTGTTGAAATCTCTGAAAAGTTTTAATAGATTCAGTAAGTAAGATCTATCCAAGTGCTTCAGTTCTCTCCAAGCCTCTGCTCATTGCAGCTGAAGTTGCTGGATTCGGCTCAGCTTTGATACAGTGTGACTGGGTTCATGCTGCTGCTTTTATTGCGGCCATCATTATACAACCTTGTCCAGGCTCACTGTGGCCAGAAACAGGAAGGACTCTCTTCCCTTTCATGTCAAGTACAGCCAAGTGTGCTCAAGCCGAAACTGACTTAATATCTCAGTGCCACACCTTTTGTAAGATTCACTCACATGTATTCTTTCTGTTTTTCTTACTCTGGATAACTCTAATGATCAAGAAGCATCCTTCTAGGTCAAGTACCTATAAATGCTAATACCTAGCATAATACACATATGTATTTTTAAAATCCTTTTTTTAGGCAGGGTCTCACTGTTGCCCAGGCTGGCATTCAGCGGTATGATTATAGCCACTGCAGCCTCAAATTCTTGGATTCTAGCAATCCTCCCTCCCACCTCAGTCTCCTGAGTAGCAGGGACCATAGGTGGGCACCACCATGTCCGACTAATTTTTAATTTTTTGTAGAGATTGGGTCTCCCTATGTTGCCCAGGCTGTTTTTAAACCCCCTGGACTCAAACAATCCTTCTCCCTTGAACTCCTAAACTGTTGGGAATATAGGCGTGAGCCTCCCCACAATGCCTGGCTGAATTATACATATATATATATATATATATATATAATTATTATATACATATGTACACATATATATATGTGTATATATATACACACATACAGATATATATACGCATATATACATATATATATATATATATATTTTTTTTTTTTTTTGAGTCAGAATCTCACTATGTCACCAGGCTGGAGTGCAGTGGCACAATCTTGGCTCATTGCAACCTCTTCTTCCCAGGTTCAAGCAATTCTCCTGCCTCAGCCTCCTGAGTAGCTGTGACTACTGATGTGTGACACCACACTCAGCTTATTGTTTTGGTTTTTTTTATTTTTAGTAGAGACGGTGTTTCACCATGTTGGCCAGGATGGTCGCGGTCTCTTGACTTCATGATTCACCAACCTTGGCCTCCCAAAGTGCTGGGATTACAGATGTGCACCACCAGGTCCAGCCCTGAATAATATTTTTTAAATAAGGTTTTAACAGACGCGAGAAATAAATTTGTGGAGAATTAATAAACCAAGCTTTAGTGTCATGAGAGTAGCATGTTTCCTTAAATTTTCATGTGTAATAAACCACAAAGATTATACTGTGGATTCTGATAATTTCCAGCTCATCTTTACTGGGAGTGATTGATAGTAGATCTAACCTAAGATGATTTTGTTGATTTTTCAAATTGTGTTGCTTGGACCTAATGCATCTGCAGAGCCTGCTGCTGGGAGCGCTGACAGGGGAAACAGGCAGGTGTGCATAAAGGGTGGCAGGCGGCAGAGTATCGGCTTCTCATTCTTCTCTTCCCCAAACCCTGTCATTGTTTTTCATTGTTTTTCTTTCAATGCTTCTGGGCAAAATCTGGTATGGATAAACGGTTTCTGTGCCCAATTTTTAAAAACCCACCTACCTAAGGGAATTGTCTCTGTTTTGATTCAGTCTGCATATTTTTTGTGCTCCCCATATTACATTTTTATCCTGCTGTCTGTGCTGAAATGTCCACTTTTCCCTTAGAGGCTGTACTACTAAGTACTGTCTTTGGTTGTGCAACTGTTCAAAGAAAAGCCTTTCAGTACCGCATCTCTTAAGCTCATTTTTATTTATTTATTTTTGTTTGGTTTCTGTTTAAGTAATCTTCTTACTGTGAGGGAAAAAACTGAATAGAAAAAAAGGACATAAAAATCATCCATAATTGTATCACACAGAGATAAAAATGTTAACATTTTGATATATTTCCTCCTGAATTATAGTTCATACATATTTTTAATTAAATTTGAATAATCTTTTATGTAGTTTTTATTAATGTGATCTTGTATCTATTTCATTAAACCATAATTATTATTAACTTTTAAAATTTTAATCCTATGTATGTCTCATAATTTAACCATTCCTCTGTTGGTGGAAATGTCAACTGTTTATAATTTTTTCTTTAGTAAAAATGATGCGTGGCCAGGCGCAGTGGCTCATGCCTGTAATCCCAGCACTTTGGGAGGCTGAGGCAGGTAGATCACGAGGTCAAGAGATTGAGACCATCCTGGCCTACATGGTGAAACCCCATCTCTACTAAAAATACAAAAAATTAGTTGGATGTGGTAGTGCGTGCCTGTAGTCCCAGCTACTCGGGAAGCTGAGGCAGGAGAATTGCTTGAACCTGGGAAGCAGAGTTTCCAGTGAGCCGAGGTCACGCCACTGCACTCCAGCCTCACTCCTGGAGCCAGAGCGAGACTCTGTCTCAAAAAAAAAAAAAAATGATGCTACAGTTAGCATTTTTGTACCAAAAGAGTGGTGCTTCAATGAACATCTTGTACATAAATATTTAACTACTTCTGTAAATGTATTTTCTAGGAATGAAATGACTAATAAATAAACTTTACAAATAGTAATAACTGTATATACTGCCAAACATTGCCTTCAATATTAAATGCAGCTCCAGTAGTATATCTGAATATCAATTTAACCTCACTCTTTCTGATTTTGAGTTCAAATCTTCAGAAGAATCTTTTCAACTTTGATTGTTAAAAAAGGCAATTTGTTTTTTATTATTTGCAGATCATTATAGCTTGTTATGAAACACTATTTTTTTTCTTGGATTTCTCTCTCTCTTTATATATATATATTCTGGGATTCTCTATATATACATATATGTATACATAAACACACACAAACACATTTCTGCATGCTGTAACACAGTTCCTTTGATTGCTGTAACAAAATACCATAGACTGGGTGGCTTATAAACAACATAAATTTACTTCTCACGGTTCTAGAGCCTGAAATTCCAAGATCAGGCTGCTAGCATGGTTGGGTTCTGGTGAGGGCCCTCTTCACAGTTGCTGACTGTATTAGTTTGTTCTCACACTGCTATAAAGAACTACCCGAGACTGGGTAATTTATGAAGAGGTTTAGTTAACCTCTTCGTAAAATACCCAGTAATTAACCTCTTACAGTTTTGTGGACTGTACATGAAGCATGGCTGGGAGGCCTCAGGAAACTTAAAATCATGGCAGAAGGCAAAAGGGAAGCAGGCACAACTTACTGTGGCAAGACAGGATAGAGAGACCAAAGTGGGAAGTGCCATGCACTTTTAAGCCATCAGGTCTCATAAGAACTCACTATCATGAGAACAGGAAGGGGAAAATCTGCCCCTATGATCCAGTCACCTCCCACCAGGTCCCTCCCCCAACACTAGGAATTCTGATTCAACATGAGACTTAGGTGAGGAGCCAAACCATATCACACTCACTTATGCAAATTTCTGCTGCCAGCTCCCCAGAAAAATGGATTTTTCTTTTTTACCACATGGTCAAGCTGCAAATTTTTCAAACTTTCATGCTTTGTTTCCCTTTTAAATATAAATTCCAGTTTTAAATAATTGTTTTGTTCACACATATGGGCGTATGCTGTTAGAAGCAGCCAGGGCACATATTTTTTATTTTTAAATTTTTTATCTTTTTTTTTTTTTTTTTTTTTTTCAAAAATCAAGTACAGTCATATTCCTTAACTCCATACAGCAACAGCAGAATGGCACAAGTCAATTGTGCAACAAAGAAAGCCAAGAATTGTTTTGCACTACAGCATAACCAAGAATGGGGAAACTTCCCATCCATAGGTTTAAATGTAGTGCTGTAGATCACATCTTGAATGCTTTACTACCTAGGCATTTCTTCCAATAAATACCCTAAATCATCTCTCTCAAGTTCAAAGCTCCACGGATCTCTAGAGAAGGGCACAATCTCACCAGTCTCTTTGCTAAAGCACAGCAAAAGGGACCTTTGCTCCAGTTAGTTCCCAAGAAGTTCCTTTTCTCCATATGAGACCACCTCAGCCTGGACTTTGTTGTCCAGATCACTATCAACATTTTGGTCAAAACTAGTCAACAAGTCTCTAGGAAGCTCCAAACCTTTCCTCCTCTTCCTGTCTTCTTCTGAGCCCTCCAAACTGTTCCAACCTCTGCATGTTACCCAGGTCTGAAGGTATCCACATTATCAGGTATCTTTACAGCAATGTCCCATTTCTCTGGTACCAATTTTCTGGATTAGTCCATTTTCACACTGCTATAAAGAACTACCTGAGACTGGGTAATTTATGAAGAGGTTTAATTGGTTCACAGTTTTGCAGGCTGTATGGGAAGCATACAGGGAGGGCCTCAGGAAACTTGCGATCATGGGGGAAGGTGAAGGGTAAGTGTATTCACATGGCCAGGAAAGACAGAGAGAGACAAGAGGGAAGTGCCATGCACTCTTAAACCATCAGATTTCATGAGAACTCACTCACTATCACAAGAACAGCAAGGGGGAAATCTGCCCCCATGATCCAGTCACTTCCCACCACGTCCCTCCACCAAGATTGGGAATTACAATTCAACATAAGATTTGTGTGGGGACAAAGAGGCAAACCATATCACAGACTGTCAACTTCTCATTGTCTCTTTACACGACAGACAGCAAGAGAGCTCTCTGAGGTCCCCTTTATCTCACTAATCCCACTCATAAGGGCTCCACTCTCATGACTTATTCACCTCCCAAGAGTCTAACCTCCTAATACTGTCACATCAGGAGTTATGATTCCAACATATGAATTTTGACATTCAGTATATGGCATTCTTATGGTAATTTTTCCTCACAAATGTCAACAGTTTCAATTTTATTTATAAGGACATTTTATGTTTTAAGGATGAAACATAACTCTTGACCTGTCATATTCATTGTAAATGAAAATGACCCAGATTGTCTTAAATTTTTAATTTTATTGTTTTTTTCAAAGGAGTTGAGACATAGGTTTGGTTATAAGCACTCTATTATTCTGTCACTTCTGGCAGCTTCATCCACATATGGCTTCTATTACACTGAAGATACACAAACTTACATCTCTAGCCTAGAGCCCAAGATAGAGAGGGACTGTCTTCAAGATATATGTTGAAGGCTTTTATCTAACAGAATAGAAAGTACTCTGATTAAATTGATAAAAAAAAAAAAAATAAGGCCCATAAGGTTTTATAAGAAATTGTATCAGCTTGAACTATAAGAAACAAAGGCAGTAAAAAATTAAGAGAGGCCTTTGAAACTCCTGAACTACTACAGGCAAAAGGAAGTTAGCAAAGATAACTGTGAACATGAAACATTTTTTAAGAAAAGTATCACTCAGAGGAATAAGCCAAAAGTCCAGAATGTAGTCAAGAGTCATGGAGGAGTATTCCTAGGTAATAGGATTGAGCCTTCATCAAGGGAATGGAAACATGTCTCTAGATATATTTCAGAATTGCTATGGACCAATGACTGTTTTCACCCCTTTTGAATGGAAATGTCTATTGCAGGTATACTATACTTACCTTATCATTGTATGTTGGGTATACTAGGGATGTGATGGTTAATTTTATAATTGACTGGGCTGTGGGCTTTCCAGATATCTGGTCAAAGATTTTTCTGAGTGTTTCTGTGAGGGTGTTATTTGATAAGTATAACATTTAAATTCATGGACTGAGTAAAGAAGGCTGCCCTCCTGAATGTGAGTGGGCCTCACCCAGTCAGTTGAAGGCCTGAATAGAACGATAAGCTGACTATTCCCAGAATAAGAGGGAATTCCTTTTGCCTGAATATCCTTGAGTTGGGACATCTTTTTTGTTAGTTAGTTAGTTAGTTAGTTAGTTGGTTTGTTTTTATGCCTTTAGACTTGAACTAAAATATCAGCTCTTCCTAGGTCTGAAGCCTGCTGGCCTTCAAACTGAACTATACCAGAGGTTCCCTGGTTCTCAGGCCTTTGGATTCAGACTAGAACTACTCTAATTGTTAGCTCCCCTGAGTCTTCAGTTTGCTGGCTGCAGATCTTGGTACCAATCTCATGAGCCAATTTCTTATAATTTCTCTCTCTCTGTACACATACACACACACACACACACACACACACACACACACACCCTATTGGTTCTTTTCTCTGCAAAGACCTGCCTAATACAGAGGGTAAAAATCTTGCATCTTAACTTCATACATCTTCAATTGAGAGGAACTATACTGGAGAACCTATACCAAAGGAACTACACTCAGGGACCCTCATCTGCATATAGACCTGATTTAGAGGACTTACACTTTCAGCCAAAGCCTGATGCTCAATGAGAAAAGGCTTTTCAGGGGTCCTAGCAGAGGCTGAATGTATTTTGTTTTTATTATTATTGTGATTTCAATAGTTTTTGGGTAACAGTGGTGTTTGGCTACATGGATAAGTTCTTTAGGTGTGATTTCTGAGATTTTGGTGCACCCATTACCCAAGCAGTGTACACTGCACCCAATGGGTAGTCTTTTATACCTCATGCCTTCCCACCCTTCTTCCCAAGTCCACAGAGTCCATTATGTCATTCTTATGCCTTTGCATTTTCATAGTTCAGATCCCGTTTATAAATGAGGACATATGATGCTGGATGTTTGAATTTCCATTTCTGAGTTACTTCACTTAGAATAATGGTCTTTAATTCCATCAAGGTTGCTGCGAATACCATTATTTTATTCCTTGTTCTCGTTGAGAAGTATTTCATGGTATATATACACTACACTTTATCTGCTCCATTTGCTTCATTGATTGATGAGCATTTTGGCTGGTTCCATATTTTTGCAATTGTGAATTGTGCTGCTATAAACATGGATGTGTAAGTGTCTTTTTCATATAATGACTTCTTTTCCTTTGGGTATATATCCAGTACTGGGATTGCTGGATCAAATGGTAGTTTACTTTTAGTTCTTTAAGGAATCTCCACACTGTTTTTCATAGCGGTTATGCTAGTTTGCATTCCCACCAGCAGTGTAAAAATGTTCCTTTTTCACCACATCCACGGCAAAATCTATTACTTTTTGATTTTTAAAATTATAGACATTTGATGAGCCTTTAAAAAAATAAATAAAATAAAATAAATAAAAATAAAAAAAATTGTGGACATTTTTGCAGGAATAAGGTGGTATTGCATGGCGATTTTCATTTGCGCTTCCCTGATAATTAGTGATGTTGAGCATTTTTTCTTAAGTCTGTTAGCCATCTGTATGTTTGTATATCTTCTTTTGAGAATTGTTTCTATTCGTGGCCTACTTTTTGTTAGAATTATTATTATTTTTTCTTGCTGATTAGAGTTCCTTGTAGATTCTGGATATTAGTCCTTTGTTGGATGAATGTATTTTGTATGGAAGAAACATGTAAATAATTTATGGTAACCCATTATTTTACATTCTTTTCAGTATGTGATAGATTTATGTCTCTTCCCCTTGAACTTGGATAGACTAGTGATTTGCTTATAACCAGTGGAAGGTTGCAGAGATGATCCTGCATAACTTTCAAGTCTAAATCCTAAAAAATGGTGACATTTCTACCTTGTGTCCTTAAAAAAATGATTCTCTCTTTGAGCTCTGTATAATGTGTGAAGACTGACTGCCCTGAGGAGTGCTGTGAAGAAGCTTAACCATTTGATAAGCCCAATAGATACAGGTTGAGTATCTCTTATCTGAAATGTTTGGGACCAGAAGTGTTTTGAATTTCATATATTTTGTTAAAATATTTTGGAATATTTGCATTATACTCACTGAGCATTCCAAATCTGAGAAAAAAAAATCTGAAATGCGCTATTGATGCTTTGAGCATCACATTGTCACTCAAAATGTTTTTAATTTTGGAGCCTTTCAGATTATTTTCAAATTAGGGAGACTCAGCCTGTAATTGCTCTCACAGAAAGTCTCAACTGAGGTCTCTGCTGACAGCAAAACCATCTTATACAGTGAATGAAGACACCTCTAGTAGATTCTGGCTTTCAACTGCTAAGTCACCCCCAGCTGTAAAGCCTTCCAAGCAGAGGGGACCCAGACATTGCAGAGTAATAAAAACCCATTCCCTGCTATGCCTTGTCTGAATTATTGACACACAAAATCTATGAACAAAATAAGAGGTAGTTTTATATCACTCACATTTTAGAGTCATTTGTTACATGGCAATAGCAGAGTCCCCTTCATGATCAACAAGACTAAAACTAAAAGGGATCTCAGTTTTCCAATCTATTGAAAAATCTTATCGATTTCACAGTTCATGTTTCTCTTGCTTCCATTCAATTTTCTCTACAAGTTTCATTCAAACTACAACTCTCTTCCTGGATTATTGCAGTAGCTTCCTAAATGATTTGTCATTCTCCACACTGAAGCCAGATGATTGATTTTTTTAAACATAAAAATTTGATATTTCCCACCTCTTATTCCCCACTCCTACTCCCACAAAACTCTAAAGAATGTGAGAGTTTTCCATTACAGTTGTGTTTTTCCCTAGTTACCTGTATTTTTAAGTTTTGGCTTTTTATAATATGATCCTGTATGCCAATGTTTGTCATGACTCATAATGTTATTGTGAATTGTATATTATTTAATATATGAAAACATTCTTGATTAATAAGTTCTTTTACCTTTTCAAAATTATCTGTTTTAAAAAATTCAACTTTTATTTTAAGTTTAGGGGTACATATGCAGGTTTGTTATATAGATAAACCTGTGTCATGGAGGCTTGTTACGTAGATTATTTCATCATCCAGGTATTAAGCCAAGTACTCATTAGTTATTTTTCCTGATCCTCTCCCTCCTCCCACCCTTCACCCTCTGGTGGGCCCCAG